GGGGAAGACAAATCATAAATCGGATACGTGTTACTGGCTTCAGTAGACGCTCTCTGATGTGCCTCAGCCCTGTGCGGTCAGGACCCGTAGTCCATGAGCAGTGCTTCAGAGTCGGGTAGCGCTTGTGGTTGCAGAGGCCTGGGTCCCGGCAAGGAGGGCTCTCTGTGCCTTTAAGGTTTCCACCCGTGACGGTTGCCTGGCCAGGTTTTCCACTGATAGAGCACTGGGGCTGCTCCCTTGACTTACGTGGCAAGCCGTCCTTAAACCACTGGGAAGGATTATTCAGGCATTCTTCTGCGTCTTCCTGGGAAAAGGATGTACTTAAAACGTGGGTATAGGTAATCTTTTTCTCAGCAGGCCGCAGGTGATGTCAAGTGTCAGGCAGCCAAATAAAAGGGATCCTTTTAAGAAATCGTGCTTTGTGTTGTCTGTCTTCTACATAAACAGGGGCACTCTTTCTCTGTCTTTCAGTAAAATAAAGACTTCGAATTTGAAACCTCATTTCTTAAGATTTTCACTATCTTTTAGTTTTGAATGTCTTCAAGAAAATTCTGTTAGAACGGGAAATACTCCCCAAATAATACCAGTATCATTGTTTTCTTTTCACTCGTCATTCTTATGCTTGTGTGAAGAATTTTATTATTTAAGAAAAGAAGTCATAAAACTTCAGTAATTATATGGAAGCTAAAAAGGAAAGGTCAGATGCTGAAGTACCGTCTAACTCGGCAGGGCAGGTGCTGATCTCATTTCCACCTTTAAAACGTATCTCTGCTTTTCGGCATGTTCAGCCGGTGATACAGAATTGCAGCTGTCTGAGCAGCATCCTAAATTCCAGTACAGTCGTGGTTGTTTTTGAAGGCCCCCACATTAATGTCTTCCTGGAGAAGTTTTGAATTCTTTATGAAATAACTATTCATATGCATCAGTCTTTGGGTGAGCCATCATTACTCTCTTTCTTCTCAAACAGTGCTGCCATTTAAGTAGGAGATGAAGCAACTCCCTCAAATTTCCCATCCCTTACTAAACAATTGTAGTATTTTTCAGTTAAATGTGAGATGATTACTGAAGGTCCCATTTAGTATGAGAATCTGGAATGCTAGTTACGAAGTACGCATCTGTGCACAGGAGGCTGTGGATATGGAGGACCCGATTACATACATACTCATGTACGTACACACAACTGCTATTGCTACTAGCATTAGCAGGAGCTGTGGTTGCTTATCCTGAATTCTGCTGTGTCTCCCGTACTAGATGGATAAATACTGGAGCTACAGTGGTATACCAGACACATTTTAGTAGAGAGTTTAACGTCATTTCCTTAATGTAAGAATGTAATCAGTCCAAAGTTCTGGTTTCACAGAAGCTGCTACTGGGCAGGAGTGTCGTTAGATCAAAGCAAGTACTTCCTATAAAATACTGCTTTTCTGAAAAACAAACTGAAGTGATTGAAAATTCAAACAATGAAGAGGTACGCTATGATGGAAACCTTTCTCTACCCAAAATCCAAGCATTTTAGGGAGATTAAAGAGTTCAGACTCTGAGGCAGTTTCTTTTGGTTTTTTATAGTGTATGTGATGCTTCATTGTTTAAACCTGCATCAAGCCCTGCTGGAAGATGCATTGTCAAATGTTCTTGCTTATAAGGATTTACCAATATAGGTTTAGTTTCTTCTTTGCAAGATGCCTGTAGTTGTCTGAAAAATAATTGAACTTTGAAGCCAGACATGCTTATGGTTCCTCAGGGGGACTGCTGCTTCCTTACTCCTTCCACCTCCACATCTCCTCCCCACCACCTTTTGCAGCTGAACTGACATTTGACTCATGGCTTCTGCAACAAGCTGTCACCTTCTCCTTGGTGCCAAATACTGTTAAAGGTGTGGCGTTTCTTAAAATTATACGGTGGTTAACTTAATGCTGCAAAGGCTAATTTACGCATATTTTTCTCATTGTCTTTTCTTTTTTGCAAGTTACTTTCCTTGCAGGCACATAGCTTGAATCTCTTTTGGCATGACACCATTGTAAAAGACAGGTAATTCCAATGACATCAGTGAAATTATCTATATGTAAAATTGAAGTAAGTGAGACTGAATTAGAGCCCAGTATCTTCAACGTACAAAATGTGTCTCTACTTTGCTTATTCAAATTAAAAGGTACTTCCAAACCTTTGAGGGTTTTGTGCAACTTGAAAGGTTCCATTAATCTTATCTATATGTAGTAAAACCTTGTCAATTCACACAAATTATTCTGGGAGTTAACAGGTAAGCACATTTTTCAGCTGGCTTCCTCTTAGATGAGGGACTGAACCTAAACTCTTGACCCGACACATCTAAATTTAGGGGTATTCAAAATCTGTATTTTGCAACTCGAGTCAATATTTAAATTTCTTTGACTTTGCATTTAGTAGTTTTGGCCAACAGATTTATGTTTGACAATCCAAAGGTATAAGAGATACCTACATATGCTATTATCTCTCAGAAGATAGACAGAGCACACATGCGAAGGGTGGGGGCTGTGGAATGCTCTAGCTTGGCTGAGGAGCTGTCTGCAGGCACACAAATATTCGTGCTGCTGAA